ACAAGATTTAATGAATTTTTATAAATAAACCACATTTCGTTGACCTATAATACTTTAAGGTGTTCGTTTAGATCAGGGCTTCTTAAACTTTGTCCTTTCCTAAAAACCCTCGTGTTTAGTAAATATTGACAATTCGGTTTGAATGGCCAAAAAAGTATTTGTTGAGATAGGTTCAAAGTGTTTAAGAAGTTCGTGATCTATCTGGATGCTGCCGAACTCTATTGAACACTTGCACTTTGTCGAAGGACCAGATATATTTAGGTGTTGGCTATATCAGACCGTTTGAATAATAAAAATAAAAGATGATAAATAAAAGATGATGAATAACTGTAATTATTGTATTTGAAATAATAAGAATTATAGATGGTTAGATAGTTGAGGTTTGAATTAGATGTTATGGATTTGAATGTTAATTTACGACTGATCTTAACTATATGAAATTTAAGTTGATACTAAATTATATAGATTTTATAATTTTATATATTTTTCTGATTGGCCCATTTTGTGGAATTAAGGACACCCCATTACAATTTTGGAACCAATCAGTGGTTATTACATTTATCAACCGAATTTATCAACCTGGTAGTGCGAATTTCTTGGAAATATAAGGATGATAGGATGATATAGTTAGGGACAGGTGATAAAAATTCTAGGAAAAATGGATTACTGATATGATTACCGATTTTGGGACAGGATGCGTAACAATGAAAGGGATGAAGGTTTATTGTCGCTATCCTGCATGGAGATAATAAAATATAATAATTATACCAGGGTTGGGAATGAAGCGTTAACACCTCGCTACCCCAGAATTTGTCTACGCGACCCCATTTGGGTTCGAGACCCATAGTTTGAGAAGCCCTGGTTTAGATCATGAACTTTATCACTATGCAAAGTTTAATTAAAATCACCAAAAAATTTCAATAATTAATTACCAAGACATGGCTCGGGTGAACTTTGCAAATTCACTAATCAGCACGATTTCCAACTGATACCTTTCGAAAACTTTTTGAATTTTCAAAATCTGTTTAGGATATTTAACGAAAAAGTTGACAAAAATTGCACTAATCTACTAATTATGAAAAACAGCATGGCCTATCGTCGTGCAATTCGAGTTTTATCAAATGAATTTTCAATTTTTAAAATCAGTGCACCTATTTTTGAGAAAACTTTGCTAAAAGGTCAAACTTTGACCCATATTAACACATCATACATACTTCTCTTAATTTTTCGCGTAAAACGATTCAGAATGACTTAAAACGTCTAAAAAATCTAAAGCTAGCAAATCTGACAAAAACTTCAACTTCTCCTTCGGGAAGTTAAATAAAATATTTCAGTAATTAAATAAAATCAGTAAATCATCCACTAAACGATTTTCAGTAGATCTAATAAAGTAATCGTCAGTATTTTATTAATTAATCGCAAGTGAGGTTACATTTGTATTCCTATGCCAGAAACCTGAAGCCCTCTTCTTAACAAAAAAAGATTAAAAATAGCAAAAATAATTGAATACTAAATTGAAATATATTTTCTAGAGATTTTGTATGAACAGTAGATACAGCTTTACAAAAAAATCATCCTTCCTTCCTAAATACCGCTTTACTAAAAAAAATCATCCTTCACGAAGTTGATAATTATATTTCAGCAATTAAATAAAATTAGTAGATCATTCACTAAACGATTTTTAGCAAATCTAATAAAGTAATTGTAAGTATTTTATTAATTAATCGCAGGTCAGGTTACATTGATATTTCTATGCTAGAAACCTGAAGCACTGTTCTTATCAAAAAAGGACCAAAAATAACAAAATTTGTTTAATATTAAATTAAAATATATTTTCTAGAGTTTTTGTATAAACACTAAGTACTGGTTTACTAAAAAGCAGTAACCTGAAGCCCGCTTCTCAACAAAAAAAGGATTAAAAATAGCATACTTTGTTGAAGAGTAAATTGAAATATATTTTCTAGAGTTTTTGTATAATCATTAAATACTGAATTACTAAAAAAATCATTGAATTATCATCACCTGAATTAAATTATGTTAATAGTGTTCTGTCCACAGTATTCTAACGTTTTTGGTGATTATTGAAATATATTTGTATGACAGGATTTGGTTGAAAATTTTGGCGAAAATAATGTTTTATTAACATTATTAATTATTTTACAAACTTAGATGTTTGCTATTAATCCATCATCCACAGCATCATTGGATCTACTTATAATTAATCAGAAACTTCCATTGCTCTTATAATATCTAAAAATTTCTTTTGAAAAAAAAAATTAAAAAAAGTGTGCAACAAAATTTTTTTTTCCAAAAGCAATTATTTTGGTAAAACAAGTAGAAAGTTTTTTGAATCATTTAACTCTGACGCTTAGTTCTCTCAAAAACAGTCATTTTTTGTACAATTAGCTCGGTATCTCCAAAACGGCTTAACGTCTTTGCCAAAAACTATTCACATCTTCTCCCAATAATTACAAATTGAATGTTTTTAGATCATTAAAATGGATACTTCGTTCTATCAAAAACTCGAATCGTCTTTTTTGCACTCTTTGCTCCGTATCTCCGTAACGGCTGGACCTGCCTCTGCTAAAAACTAATCAGCACATCTCCCTATCTATAGGGATTGAATGTTTTTTGAATGATTCAAATCGGCTGATCCGTGCGCCCGAAAACGTGGACGAAAAAATGCGGACTACAAAACACGCACAAATCCATTTTTTTGGGGTATGCCAAAATGTTCAGAAACCTTCAAAACGTAAAGATATGCAAAAATTTTCATTTTCGATTTTCGGCCCTACGGGAAGTTAATAATAAAATTTAATTTGCTAATATTAATTTAAAATTATTAAAATTGATGTAGTAATAAATTTAAAATTTCTAATATTTTAGAAGGGAGCTGTATATAAATATTTTAAAATAATATTACGATTCAGTATACTATCATTTGTTATGGTATTTTACGTATTCGTAGTTTATTAAGTGTGTTTAATTATCCATGAAATTTATTAATTAATAATATTTACTAATATAACAAAAAATTCAATAAATTTTATAATTGCAACTATCGACAAAAATATTAACTTCAATCATAAAGAAGTAAATTAGTTTAGATTTTGTAAATTATTGTAAAGTATTTGAAAATATATTACATTATAAAAAGTGCTAAATATTAGTGGATTCTTGGTTTTAAATGACACATATTTTAATTTTGTAAATAAGATTCTTTTTTAATAACTAAATTACTTCAACTCTGTAAATGAACAATTTGAACTAAAATATTTTATTTAAAAAAGTTTTAGCATTTTGAGTATGCATCTAAAATTTTTGCACAATATTTTATATTTTTTAATTTTTTAGTTAAAGTTGATAAACTATAAAATAATATATTTTTAAATAAATTTTAAAAGTATTATGTGAGTAATTTTAAAGTAATTGATAATATATGACATTGTATAAAATACTAAATGTTACTATTTGTTTATAAAGCATAAAATCTGTATATTTCAATTTTTTGTGGATAAGACTATTTCATAACAACCAATTTTTTTCAACTCTCTAAACTTACATTTTGAGGTAAAATCTTTTATTATGAGTATGCATTTTAATAGTTTGGTGCCTCTAAAATACAGTAAAATTAAATTTATTTTAATAAACAATTAAAAATGACCGTATTAGGTACATGATTTTTTCAGTTCAGGATAAACCGACAGGAAAAATTAATAAAAAATTATAGTTTTTATGATACCAATCATTATTTATGTTTCAATTCTCTGAACTATTCTGAAAAAAATAAAAACATATTTGTTTAATACATTCTACGTAGAAACTTTATTCGTATTCTATGTAGAAACTATTAACCCATTTTTTTAAATTTAAATATTCACTAAAAATTAAATTGTAAAGTCACTAAAAATTATATTCTTAATATAAAACTTGTTAGTTATAAAATTCCTCAAAAAGGGGTCATCCCAAAAATTTGAAACCAGGAATGAAATAGATGAAATTAAATGAATGTCAAATTAAATATATAATTTTTCGAAAGAAAAAGAAGACTTTTAGTTCTTAGCAAAATCAGGATTTTCATTCGAATTTATACTAAAACTTAGCTGATACTGAATATACCATTAATTTGATAACTCTAATATATATTTTCACGAACCATTAAATTTAATAGTAGATATTAAAAATTAATTTAAAATTAAAGTTTTTATGGATACCAATTATTATTTATGTTTAATTCTCTGAACTGTTTTAAAAAACAAATTTGTTCAATATATTACTACTTGTAGATGTAGAAACTATAAAACTTTTTTTTACAGTTTAAATATTCACTAAAAATGAAATTGTACAGTCCCTAAAAATTATATTTTTAATATCAAAATTTTTAGTTTGGAAGTTCCTCAAAAAGGAGAAACGAAATGTAGAATGAAATAAATGAAATTGAATGAATGTACTATTAAATAAATAATTTTTCGAATAATTTCATAAAACATAATACATAAAAATAATTTTGTAGTTCACTGTTCTTAGAAAAATCAGGATTTTCATTCAAATTAATACTAAAACTTAGTTGATACTAAATACACCATTAATTTCATAACTCTTAAATATATTTTAACAAACCATTAAATTTAACGGTAGATATTAAGAATTAGTTTCTTTAAAAAACGATTAAAACAAATTAATTTGTACTATAAGATTCAACAATAACACAAATATATTAGAACCAATAATTTATCCACACATAATAAATAAAAGAAACAAAAAAACGGTGTTTTAAACAATAGAAATAGCACATCAACGGCATATTCATCGTAATTCAAAATTAACGTTGAATAACGATGAAAAATGTTCGAAGGCATATTAAAGAATGCTATCGACACTTGTTTTAATTTTTTACTGAATACATTTAAAACTTGGTATTTGATATATAGAAAAGCAACAATAAAAGTACATAGATATCCTTTTAAGTGTAAAAATGAGAATGAATAAAATATGCTTACCTTGTTATGTATATATGACAGGAAACCACTGTTATGACACAAAACTCATTGTCTGTTAAAGGTGTTTATTCTAACAGATTTGTAATATCTTGCAAATCTCGTTTAATTCTTCTAAATAACTTTCGAACTGTACATACGACTTTATAGTGCACGCGAGATGCGAGTCGAGTGGCCACTAACAACTGTCAATAAGGCGCCACCGATATGAATATCGGAATATCAGAATATCAGAATACAGAATACTGAATATAGCAAACGAGATAATCTACCTTAGATTTTATTTTACTCGAAACCAACACATGTACGGACTTACAACATATAATCAAGATATCAATATCTTGTAGCTTCTACTATCTCTCATTGAGGACCGGTTTATCAACATTTTTCAATTTGCAAGGATGACGTACGTAAATAGCGTTAACATAAACAAAAAGATGGCGGCAGCATTTAAACACTACAACTTCACCTTTAAATATGACCATCGTTATAATTATAATTGATTTATGGTTTTTGATTAAAAGAAATACATCCCTGGTTCCATTACTGAAAACCTTCCTTCTCTAGTTTTGTGTGAGTTTTGAATATATCTTTGACAAAAGTAATCAGGAATAAAAAACTGCAAATATTTTTATTATTCGAAAAGGTGTTAGTTAACATTAAAAATGGCAACTTGACAATGGCCTAACATCTCTATAGTTCTTCCCATAACTGTATTCACTGTATTATCAATCTGGTTTAATTCTTTGAAAATATGTTTTTATTGCACTTATATTTTATTAACTCATACTTAATTAATAATTTAAAAATATTTGTTTTTTTCATGTTTCATTTTTTTATTACATTGTTGGCACAACTTATCAAGTCATTTGAACTATTGTGATGCTCAGTGACATAACGATGGCAACCTAACGGTTGTCCTATTTTTATTTGATGGAATGAATTTATTATTGTGATTTCTAATACTGATGAAAGCAACATCAGGAAAAGGCAAATTCTACCTGAAAATATATATTGATATCTATATTTTAAAGTCAAACCTGGTACCACTGCTGCTTCACATCTGGCTGTATCGAACAAGGAAGCCCGAACTTCTTTGATTTTGATGTGAATTTTTTTTTATAAATCTTTGCTATAATCAGGAACAAGAGGCAGCATAAATTTCCATCATTCGAAAAGTTGGATTAAAAATGGAAATACAACAACCGCCTAACGTCTCTAGATCATAATACACACTGTGTGTATTATCATCTTTATTATTTTGGCAATATTGTTTGACTTTGAATATGTTTTTATTGTGCCTATACTCTATTAACTTATGCTTAATTATCATCAATCGTACCTTCTTTCTTCTTTCATTTTTTTTATTAAATTATTGGCAGCACTTATCAAGTCGTATGAGCTATTGTGATGACTTCACAGTGATGACGACAATCTAAGTTGTCCAGGCTCGATTTGATGAATTTATTCATAGATAAAGATTTATTATTGTAAACTCTAATATTCGTGTAACAATGTCAAGAGAAAACTAATTCCATCTGAAAACATATTGGTATACATATATATTTTCAAAATCAAGACCCCTAGTGCTTGATACCAGAATGTCTGCAACGGTTATCGAACGAGGAAACCCATTTTCTGTCATCTTCATGTAAGTTTTTTCATAAATCTTTGTCATTATTAGGAATAAGAAACTATATTAAAACTTGAATATATGTTTTAATACATTTATATTTCATTAACATATGCCTAATTGATAATTAAAAATATATTACTGATGTTTTTCATCCTTTCTTTTTTAATTTTTTTATTATATTATTGGCAGAACTTATTATATGTCATATAAGCTATTGTAATGATTTCTCACAGTAACATCCCCTAACAGTAGTGCCGGTTCGATTTGATGAATTATTTGTTATTGCAAATTCTAATAGTGATGAAGAAATGCCAGGAAATAGCTAAATCCACCAGGAAACATATTGCTATCTATATATTCAAGTCGAAACCAGTGGTGTTGTGCTAATATTTTTTTTGCCGGAACGCTAAAATTTAAAATCCGGTTCATAAACCGGCTCAAAAAATTTGATATATTTCGATAAGAACTCACAAATCTAATATATTGACTTTTTATATAATTAACTCTATTATACACAGCTAGTCTATACATTAAATTGTACAAGTATGAGGGAATCATTGAGTACATAATTTATATTCTTCAATGACACTAATCATATTTTTTCTGGTATTATTTGTATTCATTAATACCTACAGGTATTTACTATGATATAAAAGTACTCAAGATTTATTACAATACTTTATAAGACTTAACCTAATAATATGATAGATAACCTATTACCTATCATACTATATTATATTATTGTATATCATCGAAGATATCTATTATCTATCATACGTGAGATAACTATACCGTCATTACTTAAATTCATATACCTACAGACCTTTTATTCTATAAATATTATTACTGCCTAATTTATATATTTACTATATTATATAGGTTTACCTTAGGCCCTATGTATTATCTCTACCTATCTATTGCCTATACCGGGAATTGAACCCGGGACCTCCGCGTGGAAGTCGCGCACCTTAACCACTACCCTATCGGATACCCCCAACAATAATATAATTGGGACGCACTGTTGTTTCCACGGGTCATTTTCTAATTAATTAGGTAATTAATACTAAGGTGGCGCGACGACACGCAAAAAAAGACGGTGATTGTAGCGTTACGGTGGGTGTAGTGGATAAGGTCGTCGCGTGCCACGCGGCGGACCCGGGTTCGATTCTCGGTAGGGTTAATGTAGGGGTAAGGGAAATTATAGGAATAGGATATATAGTAGATATAGGTTAAGTGTATTCGGTATACAATGTAGGGATTTGAGAGTATATATGAAATATAGCGTATGGTACAGATGTAAGGCGTGTAGTACAGAATGCACGTAAAGGCACACGTAAGGCTATAAAATATACATGAATAGGAACCTATGATGTAATGTTAGCGTATAAGAAATGCGAATGAATGTAAGTGTGTTCTACACCTCAATTTGTTACTAAATAAAAAACGGCTTTGATAAAACCAGTGGTTTTTTGTGCTAATATTTTTTTGCCGGAACGCTAAAATTTTAAAAACCGATTCTAAAACCGGTTTCATGTTTTTCCAGTTCCGTTCGAAAAGGAAAGAAACAAAAATTATTACAAAACCCATTTTTGCACATATATGTATGTTTATTACAATAATAACATTTATTAAAATTAGTTGAATAATAACGTATAAAATTTACTTATTAAATCATTTTCTGTATGTAGCGATGTTTTTATATTTTTTCTTGCCGGAACGCGTTTCGGCTCAAAAATGATTTGCCGGAACGACGTTCCGGCGCGTTCCGCCTCGACAACACCACTGGTCGAAACTGATACCCTACTGTTTGACACCAGGATGTCTGCAACGGCTAACGAGGAAACTCATTTTCTTCCATCTTCATGTGAGTTTTTTTTATAAATTTTTATCATTATTTGGAACAAGTGACTATATATATTTTTATTATACGAAAAGTTGTTAAGATTAAAATGGCAACATGAGAATCGCCTAAGTTCTACTCATAACTGCGTATGAATTATCAACTTTGTTAGTTCAATGTTGTTCACAAAATCTGGTTTAAAACTTTATGAATATATGTTTTACACCTATACTTTATTAACATATACCTAATCAATTAATATTTTAAAATGTACCACTTGATATCTAAGTTTATTCCTTCTTTCTTCTTTAATTTTCATTATAATAGTATAATAAGTCTCCTAATAGTTGTCCTGGTTCGATTTGATGAATTTAATATTGCAAATTGTAATACTGGTGAAGCAATGACAAGAAAGAACTCATTCCACATGGAAACATATTAGTATCTATATTATCAAGTCAAAACTCTGATACTCTACTGCTTGACACCAGGATATCTGCAACGGCTAACGAGGAAACTCATTTTCTTTCATCTTCATGTGAGTTTTTTTTATAAATCTTTGCCATTATTAGATTCAAAAGACTATATATATTTTCATTATTCGAAAACTAGTAAGATTAAAAATAGCAACATGAGAATTATCTAACATTAGTTCTTCTCATAACTGCGTATGTATTATCAACTTTGATAGTTCAATGATGTTCACCAAATCTAGTTTAAAACTTTGAGTATATGCTTTATTATACTTATACTTCATTAACATATGCTTAATTGATATTTTAAATATATACCACCGATCTCTTCGTTACTGAGATTGTTCCATTTCTCTTCTTTAATTTTTTTCTATTGAATTATTGGCAGATCTCATATGAGCTATTGTGATGACTTCTTAGTGACATCTCCTAACTGCTGTGCTGGTTCGATTGATGATGAAGCAATGCCAGGAAATGGCTAATTCTATCTGGAAACATATTGCTATCTATATTTTCATCAAGTCATAACTGATGTACTACTGCTTGACATCAGGCTGTCTGAAGCAAGCTAGGATAGGTTTGCTCATGTGGGTACCGACGGGGTTGCCCATCTTCTTTTATCCTCATGTGAGTACTTTTATATATATTTGCTATAATCAAGAACAAGTGATTATATGTAATTCTTCAATCAAAAAGTTGTTATTATTCTTTTAGTCTTATTT